AACAGCCTCTTGCTTTTCAGGCAATGTGAACGCTCCATTGTTTTAGCCAGTTATTTTGTTCATTGTCAGGAACACTGTTTTCCCATGGGAAAACATCTCTAGTTTTATGATGTCAGTGGAAAGTCATTCCGTTTACAAGAATTGCCTTCATATTCAGTCTCTTAGAAATGCATAGACCACTACCAGGGTTCTGATCTTTCAGATACTGCCTTAAAATTTCTGCAAAGTTACCGTAAGTTGCCTTAGTGTTAAGACCTAAACAGAATTTTTAAATGTAGTAGTTATTTAAGCGGTTATATTTCCCATCTTCTAAGTTATTGATATTTCTTTTCTATTAAAGAAATGTTAAAACAGGAATAACTATATTTAGGATTACTTTGAAAGAACATGCATTTTTACTGGCAGCAAATAACTTACTCTAGGACCTAAAGATTTCAATTTTAAGAATGTCCGTGCTAGCAAGTCCTGAATATGGACCCTGTGTATGACTTATTAAGCTATTTCCTTGAGGTTTCATTCAGGAAAAGTGTTTTGAGTAAAGCTTTTGGGCCCTTGGACTACAAAGTATTATTCTGTGTGTGGTCACTTTGCCTGGTGAGGGTGCTTTTTTTCTGGCTGAATGCCAGGAAGTGGGCTGCTCCCAGCAACCAGGCTTTGTTTTTTAGATGGATTATTTGGTGCAGGTGAGGATGCTGTGGGTTGTTTGTCTTGTCTTAACTAACTGGGACAGTGATATGTACTTAAAATCTGAAATTCTTAGCAGGTGGGCTTCAGTAAGAATAGAAAGGCTTCTGGTTCAATTCAGTATCTCCAAGCTAATTGCTCTGATTTTCATGTGCACACCTGGTGTTGGTTTGTGTAAGAATTTTCCCTGAGAAACATGGCTTTGTGATTTAAGTATTTGTTTGTGAAGGGTCCCTTGTAATATCTCATGTAACAAAATGTATACATACAACCAATTTTATAATATCTAGTTTAATAATTTGGCCTAATTATTGAGTAATCAAAAGTTTAAACTATTAAACTGTCTCCATTTTAAGAAAATAGGGCATGTTAATGTGAATCTCCATACATTTATTTTTAAAGTTAAAATTAAATCTCAGCTGGATGCAGTGGCTCATGCCTTTACTCCCAGCACTTTGACGGGAGGACTGCTTGAGGCCAGGAGTTTGAGACCAACGTGGGCAACATAGCAAGACCCCAGCTCCACAAAAAGAAACAGACAAATAAATGAAGTTAATATTAACCATCTCCATTAATATTAACCATTTCCACCATCTCATTTGGTGGAAAATGTGAAAGGAACCAAAGCATATATTTTCTATTCTAAGCCTTCATTGTTAAAGTGAAGAGATCATAAAATAATTACATAGTTTATTTGAAGAGATATAAAAAGATTAACACCATTTGGTAGTCAGCATGTACACATATGCAAGCTGTTAGCATTAAAATAACTGTGAAGTCCAGAAGAGAGAAGAATAACGAAGAGAAGAAATAAAAGGAAGAAATAAAAGGAAGTTAAGAAGTCAAGGTGGGGAAAAAAGTGAAAAAGCATTTATTTGTTAGGTTTATCAGATAGGGTGACCCGTTGTCCCATTTTGCCAAGGACTTTCCTGGTTTTAGCACTGGAAATCTCGTGTGCTGAAACCCTCAGTCCTGGGCAGACCGGGGTGGTTGGTCCCCCTGTTGTCAGGGCAAAGACTTTGCCTCAAAACTGCATCAGTGTCTAGTGTTTGTTGTTCTAGTGGCATTGCCTCTCTGCAGTTAGGAATGAAGTGAGGAAGATCACTGAGACTTTTTAAAGTAGGTAAAAGGAGAAGCAAACCTGAATCTTTAGGAATGGCCTCCACTGTGAAATTGGAGGATTGTGAGCCAGCAAAGGGATAGAGGTGTAGGAGGGCTAGGGTAATTCATTGCCATAGGAGCCAAGCCAAAAGGCTTCAGAGGGAGAGTTCATGTGGGCACAGGTGAAAAGTGGCGTGTATAAAGGAAAAGTCCTTTTGGTTTCTCACATAACAGGTCATTTGTAACTTTCGAGAAAGCAGTTTGAGCCATGGTGAGAATGTAAACCAGATGGGGGGGGGTTAAGAAGCAGGTGAGAAAGTCCTGACAGTGAATGTTGAAATCATCAGATGATTTAAAATTTGTGGTCAGTGAAAGACATGGCAGAATATGGTTGCTCTAGAGCAGGGATTTGGAAACTATGGCCCACTGGCTAAATCTGGCCTATTGCCTTTTTTATAAATAAAATTTTACTGGAAAATAGCCACAGCCACTTGTAGTCTTAGTGTCTTTAAGGATGCTTTTGTGCTACACAATGAAAGTTATATAGTCACAAAAGACACTATATGAACCACAAAACCTAAATTATTTATTATCTGGCCTATTATAGAAAAAGTTTGCTGATTTGCTGCTCTTGAGGGTAATAAAGTGGAAGGAAATGTTTTTTGTTTATTGTTTGCCTTTTTTAAAAGAGGAGATCAAAGGCTAATTGTGGATGTAATAAGGAGCTAGATAATAGGGTGAGTGTAGTAGGTATCTATTTTCTTCTAATAGGTTATAACCCACCAAACTTAATGGTTTAAGATGATAGTTATTCTCTTACAGTTTCTGTGGGTCAGAAATTTGAGAGTAGCCCCCGGAGGAGTTCTGGCTCTGAGTCTCTCTTGAGGTTGCAGTCGAGTGTCAGCCAGAACTACAGTCACATAAACATTTGGCTGAGGCTGTAGGTTGTTTCCAAACTCACTCACTTGGCTGTTGATGGGAGACCTTAGTTCTTCACCACCTGGGCCTCTCCTCGCTGCTTGGATGGCCTCACAACATGGCGGCTGACCTCCTTCCTACTAAGTGATCCCAGAGAGCAATGAAGAACCAGCATGCCCTTCATGGCCTTGTTTTCGAAGTTACACATCATCATTTCTGCTGTATTCTGTTTGTTGCACAAACCCTGATACCTCGTGGGAGGGGACTGCCTTTGGCCATGAATTCCAGGAGGATCATGGGTGGCCTTCTTCGTGGCTGGCTACCATGGGGAGGGAAATTGTCAATTACATGCTTCTTGTGGGGATGACATGGCATCAAGCACATATATGTTGACAAGGACGTAGAACACTTTCCTTAGACACTGTACTGAACAGATGGTGGAGAAACAGAGGCATGGAGAAATACTGAGGTTGGGAGGAGAACATTCATTCAACAAAATATTTATCAGCTATGGTAAAAGGCTCATTAGTATCTCTCTTCAGTTAGGGATCAGGTTTCAAGACACGATTTGGGGACAGGAATGGGTTTGAAGGGTAAGCAGAATAAAATACCATGGGGAATACAAAGGTGATTCCATTAGTGGCTTGTAAATTCCTTAAGGACAGGGCCCTCCATGTCATAAGGCCTTATCTACAGGTATGTGATTATTATTTGACTTTCTTTACCTTTCTTGCAATGTTATTGTCGGCACTACTTATTTCAATAATAATGGCAAAATCCGTATTCTGAGGTGGAAGAGGTGAGGGGTTCCAGCTAATCCTGTTGATGATCTGGACATACTTGCCCCAGTTGCTGTTACTTAAACATCTGGCAATGTTAGAGGCAGAGTTTTGTTATTTATAGAAAAATTACTTGAAAACAGCAGCTTTACATTCATGACTAGGTTCATTGTAAGACCTGTTTTTTGTGTGTTTTTTTTTTTTTTTGTAAAGGACATAAATCCTCTGTTATGGTTGGGTAAATATATGTAAAGATAACTAGAATGGGCAGATGTAATCCTGTTTTACATTTCAGTGGGAAGAAATGTTTGGAAACTATTTCGTTTCTTCAACTGAAATCTCTCAGTGCAATTTTAGTGTTGTTGGGTTTTCTTCTCCTGTGAACAATTTTCAGGAATGATCACAAGTTATTATGGAATCACCCCATTCTTGACTGTGTGCATGAATGGCTTCTGTTGGGAGTTAATTCTTCTGGCGTGCATGTCTCGCATTCCCTCAGCAGTTGGATTTAACAAGGGAGGAATTATCATGATTAATGTGTCTTTTGATTCCTTGGTTTCAAATAACACTTTTACTTCTGTGGGTTTATTTTTCATCTCCTGCTGAATTTTTTTTTTTCTTTTCTTTTTGAGATACCAGAACCTATTAATTGAGACAGTACAGATATTTTAGGACTTACATTTTCCCTTTTTAAAATATTTATATGAAGGTAATACCTGTACACTGAAGGGTTTGAAAATATGGAAGGCATCCTTTTCAAAGTCGTTTTCATGAAGTGTCGGATTGCCTGCAATGGTAATAGCTGAGATCTGTCACCTACTACATGGCAGGCCCAGTGTGGTTGGGGAGATAGGACACCAGCACCCTGCACATACTTTTAAGAGCTGGGACATTACTAACCATAGAATGTTCTGGGGAAAACCAAGAGGAATGGCCAACATATTCAGTTACATTTGTAGATGGTGAAATTCTACAGTAAATTTTTCTGTTGCAAATCATAATGCAGCTACATGCTAACTAATAATGCACACTGATAATGTCATGCTCAGTGCCAAAAAGTGGCAGACAGTATTACTTTCAGGCCCTTTCATCGGGCAGGGACTGGCATTGTGTTCTGTGTGTCAGTTGGAAGTTATTATGAGAATGTGGTTTCCTCAACAGTGATTATATTTATTTTAGAGAAAACATCTTTTTGTCGTAGGAACCTTTTAGCAGGTTTCTGCAAAATCTCCTATGGGGAAATGTATACATTTTACAATGAATAAATTCCTTTCAATATTGTTAATTTCTTTCTTTATCTCAGTGTGAAGGAAAGCACTGTTTTGTAGGTGTTTGGAAATGTCTGTAGCATATATAAAACTTAACCCGAAGGAGTGCTTGAAGGTAGGGCTGATTCATAATTGAGAATTAGCAAGAATAGAACTGTTTATGATATTGTTGTTCAGTTCCCGTTCCTCTCCCCAGCCTCCGCCTCGGAGCTATGGATTCTATAACTAACCGAAACTTGTTTTTTTTCAGGTGCCCACTGACGGCAATGCCGGCCTGCTGGCTGAACCCCAGATTGCCATGTTCTGTGGCAAACTGAACATGCACATGAACGTGCAGAATGGGAAGTGGGAGTCAGATCCGTCGGGGACCAAAACCTGCATTGGCACCAAGGAGGGCATCCTGCAGTATTGCCAAGAAGTAAGTCCCGGCTGGCCGCCAACTTGCATGCATTTTTACAAAAATATAACTTCGTACATTTTGTATTTTTATATTTTATCTTTTCTTTTTTCTTACAGTAGAAATCTTGGTCTCTAACGATTCACCATATCATTAATACATTTATGTGTGTTGCCCTACAATATACATACATGTTTTTAAAAATTATATCATATTGTGATCATAAATAAACTGATAGTTTAAGATTCCTTAGCACTTCCTTTTATCTTTAGAATATATCCCACTATGGCTGAATAGTCAAGGTATTGTGGTTAAAAGTGCTGGAATTAATTTTTTCTGTTACCAACTTGGTATATTTGAATTCATTTACATCTGTTTGTATTCAATTTTAGCTTTTTCCACCCACTTTTACTTTTTGTGATCACACTGTTCACTCTATAAAAAAAATTATACTCAGAAAGCTCACTTACCATCCATTCTATATTGATAAACATTTTCATTGTTCCTGATTTGTTCTTCTTGCAAAAGAGAATATATATTTCTCCCTTTTTTTCTTATACAAAAGAAATACAAAGTGTACTGTTTTGCAGTTTGCTTTTTTATTCAACTTTCTGTCCTGGAAGTCATACCCTCTCAATTTTTAGAAATCTTCATTCTTTGTATAATTCTTCCTAGTCTCTTTTTTGTTATTATTGTACAGGGTACTCCTTCGTTATTAATTCAATTTAAAATAGCTAGAGTCCCAGGCATTTTATCTTACAATTCTTACACAACTGTCTATTCTAGGACATGTGGCTGTTTATATTAATATTTTAAGAACATTTATAGGAATTAATCTTAAGCTTCTTGGCAAAGCAACATTCTTTACACTCAGTATAAACAACAGATAGCCTGGCAACATTTTCCTTGTTAAAAACTTTTATGTACTAGGAATTTTCCTTTAACATTCTTGGATTGAAAATGAAATATTATTGCTATTAAAATATTTTTATTTTTAATTATAACCATTAAAATTGTTATTTAGATGTTTAATTTTTTTGGAAAGCACTCTTTCAGAAAGGACAGTCTATAATTCCTAACTTGTGTTTTAAGAAGCAAAAAAGCACCATATTATCACAATATGTTACATATTAGGTAATTTTTATCTTGAAAGGAATATGAACCATGATGTGAAAAGAGAATTCTTCATGTTTAAGTGGGAATCACTAGTACTTATGTCATGTATATATATATTTTTTTGATTCTACCTGCTTACTATTAAGTAGGGGTTATTAATAAATTAACTTTTTCCCAGATGTGACTTTTGTGAAGTATCCATTTTAGAAATAATATTCATATTCTGCTGATTTGTTCTGAGTTCCTCTAGTACAATTTTGTAGATAAGTTATGAATTTGGTAAATTGGAACTCTGTGCATGCTTATATACAGATTATGTATTGGATGTTAATAGAATTTAAAGGATAGAATTCATATTTAGTTAATGATATTGACTAAGTTGTCCTTTTCTGGTTCATGACTATTTTGATATGTGTGTCATAGCTTGCATCCAAGTTTTTTCTTCCCTTAGTTTTACTTAGGAATAACCAGATGTTTTTACATTTGTATGATGGCCATACTTTTGTTGACCCTGGGAACACTCCTTATTTCCCACTAATGCCTGGGTGGCTTTACTTCCTGGGTTACTCTGTTGTTCATCCCAGGGCTAACTAAGCCACAAAGTGGTTCTTCTCGTTTAAAACTTTGCCAGGTTGTTGGTGGCCATGGGGTGGGGGGGAAGACAATAAGTCCTTTGGCTGTCTTCTTCCTCTTGGAATTCTGGTATTATCCGTCCTTCTCTGCTCACTGTTTACCCATGGAGGTCTTGTAGGATGATACACATCAGCCATATTTTTAGACAAACAGCAGGCTGGATAAGTCAGAAAGGGCCAAGACTGCAGGCTTTGCCACCCATTTTAATGAATTTGCTCTGCATTCTGTAGCAACAGGAAGTCATTAAAGGCGTTTATTTATTTTTGTTTTAAAGAAGGGGAGTGACTGTAGATTTGCATTTTAAAAAGTCACCCTCTTGGCCGGGCGCTGTGGCTCACGCCTGTAATCCTAGCTCTTGGGAGGCCGAGGTGGGCGGATTGCTCAAGGTCAGGAGTTCAAAACCAGCCTGAGCAAGAGCGAGACCCCGTCTCTACTATAAATAGAAAGAAATTAATTGGCCAACTGATATATATATAAAAAAAAAATTAGCCGGGCATGGTGGCGCATGCCTGTAGTCCCAGCTACTCGGGAGGCTGAGGCAGGAGGATCGCTTGAGCCCAGGAGTTTGAGGTTGCTGTGAGCTAGGCTGACGCCACGGCACTCACTCTAGCCTGGACAACAAAGTGAGACTCTGTCTCAAAAAAAAAAAAAAAAAAAAGTCACCCTCTTGCTATGTCACTATGTCCCATTCTCAGTTCCCTCAGAGCCTGCCCTGGAGGAGCCTGTAGCCCCATGCCCTCTAGTACAGTAAGTAGCCACTGGCCACACGTGGCTTTTGAGCCCTTGAAATGTGGCTAGTCCAAACCGATGTGTGCTGTAAGGATAAGATAAATACCGTATTTCAAAGATTTAGTATGAAAAAGCATATAACACATTAATAACTTTTATAATTATTTCATATTGAACTGATTACACTTTAAATATATTGTTAAATACAACATAAATATTATTAAATACCTATATATATATAGTTCAAACTGTTTTTCACCTGGTTTTTTTTGTACTTTTCCTTTTTTGGCTACTAGGAAATTTGAAATGACATGGGCAGTTTGCATTCTATTTCCGTTGAACAGTGCTGCTCGCCCCATGGTCCCATGCCACCTGTGACCTGGGCTACAAGGGTCTGAGATCTCATGATCTGCCAAGTGAGAGAGGGTAGAATTCGGGGGTCCCCCCATACCTTCCAACAGAATTTTACTGGTGGTTGGTAGTAAGAGAGGAAGGCTTGTTTTGAGTCATTTTAAATATAGCTTTCATTAAAAATATTTTATTTATTTATTTTTTTTATTTTGGCATATTATAGGGGTACAGATTTTAAGGTTTCAATAAATGCTCTTCCCTCCCCTCCCCCCACAAGTCTGAGTTTCCAGCACGACCATCCCCCAGATGGAAAAATATTTTAATGTGAGATAATTATGTGACTACTATAAGATTCACATATACATATATTCATATATACACACATAATACTATAGAAGCCTAGTGTTTTGTTCTTCCTCCTTCAAACGTATACCTCTGGGTGATAAGGGGGCAATGATGAATAGAACATAGGACCTGTTCTTTAAAGGGGAAGAAAGGTTTGTAAAGTCACAATTTTAGCAATCTCAAAACTGACATGGTGACAGTGATGTGGATGCTAATACTATCTAACCTTTATTGAGCATTAACAAAGTGCCAGCTACAGTGATAAGTCCTTACATTCATTTTACCCACCTGATCTTGATGACACCTCTGGAAAACAACCCAGGAATGAACCCTGGGGAATTGCGACATTTAAGGGGAACAAAGAGAAACGATGCTATCAGTGGAGGATGAGCAATGGCCAGAGACATAGATAAGAAGTAGGAAGTGCTTTGTGCTAGAAGTCAACCTGGGCTAATTTCTAAACAGGGGAAATCACGAGTGCAAGTATGATACAAACTGAAAGTGGTTGAAGTGTAATTATTGATAAGGTAGAATCATGTTTCTCATGCAAAATGAACACGTCAAAGATTTTATTCAATTAATTAATTGAGGTAAACTGTAAGGTGCTAAAACTAGTCCATTTTGACTTAGAAAGATTTAAATTCTTTTCCCAGCACACTTCATTTTTATGGCTATGAACAGGAATCATCTGGAATTATCTGGAATATCATGGAATTATTTCCATGGGACAGGAAACACTTGCACTGTTATCATTTGTCTACAGTGTCTACCCTTACAGAGTTATAAAACAGCCTCCTCTGTAGCAAGTCAACAAGAGGAATTCACCCTGTAGAACCGGATAATCCTTTTCCCTACCACCCTCAAGGTTCAGAAGACAACACCTACATTCTACTGCTGAGATACCCAGGAATCTCTTTTGCTCATATCTGTATCTCGGACACCATTTTTGGTGACAAAACATTGTTATCACAAATGAGAGGTATTGTTGACACCCTGAGGATAGTAATTTCTGTAGAATGGGGTGGGGTGAGTCTAATTGCCTAGGTTTCAGGAAGAATAACATAAGGAGTGGGGAAGTCAGCTGTAGACTCTGAGGAAAGACCTAGAGGTGAACAGCTTGAGGGCCATTCAAGGCAAAAGGAAAGGCTTTGTTCTTTGTGGTGTTTTCTGGTTTTTTTTAAATAGAAGGGACTTAAGCTAGAGAAAGCTGACTTGTGGGAAGGACACACTACACTCAGGTATCTATGAGAACTAGGTTCTGTCAGAACTAGAGAGAAAGGGAGACTGGCTGAGTCTTGGACAGGAGAAGGAACATCTCTTCTGAGAAATGGAAATGAGGAAATAGTAAGGGTGGGTTACTTAGGTCTTTTGTCACCCTTCTGTTACTAGGTGACAAAAACCCACTAAACAGTTTGTTGGTCTGGAGGATATTTTTATCATTGATGGGAAGGATCCTGATGGGGGTAGCTTACACTTGTGGTCCCCAACCCTCTGGCCGAGGACTGGTTCTGGTCTGAGGCCTCTTAGGAACTGGGCAACACAGCAGGAGGTGAGTGGTGGGAAAGTGAAGGAAGCTTCATCTGTATTTACAGCCACTCCTCTTCGCTCAACTCACTGCTTGAGCTCTGCCTTCTGTGAGATCAGCGCTGGGGAGCAGCTGCAAATGTAGTAAATGTAATGTGCTGGAGTCATCCCTAAACCACCCCCCATCGTCTGTGGAAAAAATACCTTCCATGGAACTGGTGACAAAAAGGTTGGGGACTGCTGGCTTACACAATTAAAAAAAAAATGCACAGAAACAGCATCCTGGAACCAAGGCTCAGTGCTGCCTAGAATTTCTCTGTTAG